ATCAGGCGTCCACCGCCTTCCTTCGAGCGCTAGCCGCTCCTACGGCGCCAGTCGCCCTCCGGGAAGCGCCAGCCGTTTCGCCAGGGCACCCGCTACTCCTCCTGAGCGCCAGCCGCTCCTTCAGGCGCCAGTCGCCTTCCAGCAAGCGTCAACTGCTTCTCCGGAGCGCCAGCCGCTCCTTCCAGCGCCAGCCGCTGCACCGGGCGCTAGTCGCCTCCCTCAGGCGCCTGACGCCAGACACCACGGGGTCTCCAAACAAGGCCCCGGCGCCGGACGCCGCAACGCCTGCCGACTCCTCGGGGACTCCCGCAGACACCACCGACATTCGCAAGGCGGTGAAATCTAGGAGCCGGGCAAGCAAGGAGAACCGGGAGCCCCGTCCCCACAAGGGAGGCAAGTCCCGGAGCAGGGACCACAAGGGAGACCGGCCTCCGCGTCCTCCCCTCCAAGAGGAACTGATCCCCTTGCGGAAACGGACGCAGCCGCTGCCCGTACACCTCCAGGCCAAGCGTCCCAGGGCGGATGCACCCACGGATTGCCGACCAGGCGCACCGGAACCGGACCCGCGGCGAGAGCAGCCGGAACGACCCCGGACACCGAGGGTGTGCTTAGTCGTGAGCGACGACTCCGACCACGGGAGCACACCTCGCCGAGCGTACCTCGCCGACGCAGAGACGCAAACAGTACAGAAGACGTTTCGGGACGCGGCAACCCAAACCGAAGTTTAGGGGTGGTCGACACCCAAGCTGTAAGAAACCCAAATAAAATGTCACAATAACTTCGAACCTAGCGTCCATAATATTACCTGCCACTACCCTTCCTCTTGCGGTCACCCACTGCGTAAAGCGTAGTAATTAAGACGTACGAACAGGCTAGGCGGAGCCTAAACTTTGTATTCGGATACGCAAAATAAACTGAAGGAGTGCAAAGTTTATTACACTGTCAATTTTTGCAGTGCAGTTACTATTAGCGCGGTGAAATTATGGATCCTAACCGCGGACTTTTATTTCTTATAGCGAATTCGGTTGCTTGCACTGGTGCGCACTGATTGTGAGTGCGAACTAAGGCTTGTTTATAGTCAATTCTTATATTTCCGAAGCGTCTTAAATATTCTTGAAATATTTCGTAGCCAGTAAAACGATCTGTATAGCATCCATACGGATTGTTTTCTGGCTAAATCGCTTTGAACGTGCATTTAAGACAAAGTTAAGTATAAAAATTGACTGTAAACTGGCCTTGGTGTGCACTCGGTACGCACTAGTGCAAGCAACCGAATTCGCTATTAATGAAATTTTAGGTTAGCATCGATCGGACCTAGTGTTGCACTCGCACAAGACAAGTTTAGTGCAAAGCGAGTTCAGTGTGTAATTGCATCGAGTTGGTGTTGCACTGAGAAAGGTTAATACCGATCGGACCTAGTGCTGCACTTGTACAGTTCAGTGCAAAACGAGTTCAGTGTCAGTGCAAATCGGCCGAATTCACTATAAAGCTGAAATTTCATGCGAGCGAAGAAAAGCTGGCTTTTATCCCCTCTCATCGATTTTCGATGAAAATGGCTGATTCAGCGAAAACACGCTAAAAGTTCGATTCATTCGAACTTTCAGCTTTCAGCTGAATCACGGTCAAACACGGGGTCGATAGAATATTAATATTCAGAAAAATTGAAAAATGCGAAAGAAATAGAAGCAATGGATGAAGTAAGTATATACATATGTATTATAGTAACATAAAGTATTATAGGTTAGATAAATTTCTTATTTTTTCTCTGTACCTCTTATTGTATTTCGCTTCCCTAATCCTACCTTCTTCCCATTGTCTTTGTGTGTCTCCTTCTCTTTTTTCTACAATAATTCGACTTTTATCATATTCCTTTCCTCCTTCGGCATGCTATCTACTGCAATAATACCCCATCCATTTCTATTATATTATCTAGAACCTTTAAGTGATCCTTATAGTCTCCTTTTCTATTAAACGCAAAGCCAAAAGGTAACTGAAAAACTGCACCTCTTCTAATTTTTCATATTAATATTATTAATTTGTATTTCTTATATTGTAGGAAACTGTATCGATACCGTACACCTGTGGTGTGTGCGAAACTACTTTTGATAAAACAGAATTATTGAAACATCCTTGTTTGTTAGATTATAACAAGTGTCAAATAGATGCAAATTTTTATGTTTATCCTGCACTCGGTAAGTATTATAGTGACAAATTTTTTTATTGCATATTTTATTACATATTTTAAGTAAGAAGTATAATTAGGAGATGTTATTAATACATGCAGATGATGGAAAAATTCTACATAAGAGTTTGGTGGATAGTGCAGAGATTATTGTTACGGAAACCAGCAAAGTCCCAAACCAAAAGACTGATGCAAGTAATTGGCGAAATATAAGAATTATAGAAGAGGAACGTTTAATCGACGAAATTTGTAAATGTCCGCCGTTATGGAATTTTAAACTTCCCCTTATCGAAAGAAGCCTGCAAATAAAAAAAAACTGTGGGAAGAAGTAACAGAAGCAATGGATGGTAGTATTTAATAGTCATAATTTAACTGGACTAAAATTCGTTCATATTAAATATATTTTTCTTTTCTAGGCAAAATGGACATTATAACTATTAAAAAAAGATGGAAATATCTGTGCGATACTTTCCGAAACCATAAAAATAAGCAGCATCAGCCTAGTGGCTCGGCAGGAATATCGCGTCAAAAAAACTGGATACATTACGAACGGATGCAATTTCTTGACGACGTACAACTTGAAAGCGAGTATGTAA